GCTGCATACTGCTAGCCTGGGGAAAGAACTAAAATTTGAAGTACAGCACTATCTTAAACTTAAAAAATTGAAAATAGAATCATTGTAAGATGGACCCATCTATACTGGCCTGGTGTGGTCTTGTATGATTTATGTGTACTTGCAAAGCCTCATAGAATGAGATGGCTGCAGTATCTCCCTCTGGTGGTTGAGAGAATTCGATGTGGTGTAGGTGTCAGTGCTACTATGATAAAATATCTGAGGCTGGGTAGTTTATAAATAACAAAGGTATTTCTTACATTTCTGGAGGTTGGGAAAGCCACCAGTAGGTTGGTGTCTGGTGAAGGTCTGCTCTGTCCTCAAGCAGTACCTCTGCCACATCCCCTGGAAGAAAAAGCTTCAGGTGACAGAGGGCATCTGGACAAAAAAATACTGAAACAAATTTGCTGCAGCCTTTCTAGGCCATCTCATTTTGATGATCTAATCACCTCTTAAACCTTCATCTCAAGATACAGCCACAATGGGGATTAAGATTAAACAGTTGAATTTGGGCTCCTCCTGCCTTGCCTCCCTAGTTTCTGGAATTATAGTGATGTGCCACTCCATCTGGCTCTGTCTAGCTTTTGAAAAGTATTATTTTGAAGGCAAAGCCATTCTGAATATAAACTACCTGCTTTCTTGGACAGTTTTATCTCTTTAATTTTTTGACTGTCAGATGATAGTTTGGGATGGGCCTTTGTAAGTCCTTCTGGACCTTGGACAGACATTTTTAGTAGATCTGTATCCTTCAGTGCTGGGAAATGTTCTTGTTTTGATCTATTATTGATCCCTTCCATTTCTTTTTGCCAGTCCTGGAGATTAAACCCAGAGCCTTCACACTGAGCTGTATCATTATCCTTTCATTTTCAAATTTTGAGACAGGGTCTCACTTAGTTGCTAAATTGCCCAGACAGGACTCTTGCATGGACTTGGCATTAAAATGGCACTTCAGATCAGTGGGGAGAGAGACGATTCACCAATATAGCTTCTTATTTGTGGGAAAATGGGATGGTGACATCTTTTACTCTTAAATGGAGCAAAACTTCAAATTACAATAAATAATAATATATTTTTTATTTTTGTTGAGACAGGGCCTCAACTCTGTAGTTCAGGCTGGCCTTGAACCATGTGGCTCAGGCTGTCTTCAGCCTCCTGAGTGCTGGGTAACAGGCATACACAACAAAGCCCAAAAAGAAAAACATTTTTTTGACTTAAGAGTGAACAAGTCCTTTTTTTGTTTTGCTTTGTTTTGTTGAGACAGGATCTCACTATGTAGTGCAGGCTGGCCCTGAACTCACAGTGATCCTCCTGCCTCAGCTTCCTGAGTGCTGAGATTACAGGCATGCATCACCACGTCTAGCAAACAAGCCCTTTCTGAGCCTGACACAAAATAGAAGTCACAGAGAAAAAAGCCCAGACAAGTCTGGCTTCCTACCTGGTCAGAACTTAATCACACTACGAAAGTAAGTGAACATATGAACACAATGACAGTGCTCACTTTGGCAGCACAAATATCAAAATATAAAGCAATGGCAAACTAAGAAAAACAACTGTAGCACGTTAATCTCCTAACTATAGAGCCAGGTGTGGTGGCACAAGCCTATAATCCGTGCATCTGGGTGCCTGAGGCAGGAAGATCACCACAAGTTTGGGGCCAACCTGGGCTACAAAAGGAGTTAATAGCCAGCTTGAACTACACAGTGAGACCCTATCTCAAAGAAAATTTAAAATATAACTATACAATAAATTCCCAAATCATACAAAGAGAGTGGCAACAGATATAAAGCTTATTTACTTATTTATTGGTATTGGGGATCAAACCCAGAATTTTGTGCTTGCCAGGCAGGCACTTATGCCTGTTGACCTATCCCCTCAGCTATAAAGTTTACTGGATAAGAAAAGAAATACAAAGTTGCTGAACCACACTAAAAAAATACAAGTAAGACACTTTTTCAGAGAGAAGGACTAGTAAAAATAGAACTACATTTACGAGTATCTTAAAGAGCATTCCTAGAAACAAGTACAAAGGTATTTCCTTATATTGTTATGAAGAATATAAAATGGGACTACTCTTCTGATGATTTGACCCAAATTTTTAAAAGTACAGTTTGACAGAACAATGTCTGTCCATGTATCTTTCAGATACACACTTGAACACACATAAATGCACACATACATTACCTGTGTACATGAAGCTTCTTCAGAATTTTTTGTAATTATAAAAACCTGAAGTCAACAAAATAATTACAAAATGGGAAGTTATAATTTATCCATAAACTATGATTGAAGACAACTCTCACAGAAAAAAAAAATAGATGAAAAATGCTGAATTGCTAAGTGAACTGTACGCATGGTATAATCCAACTTCTGGGCCAAAATGCACATGACTCTCTCACCCAGGGTTGCCTCTGGGCAGTATGATTGTGGGTAGTCTGGTCAGCTGGGGACCTTGGCTCTGCACACCTCATGTGGCGTGTCTATACACCTTCCCCATGCTCCGCTGTCCCTTGGAGCTGGTTTCATGTGACACCTGCATCAGGACAGTGGCTGCTCATGGCATTCTCGTCTTTGTAGGTCTGTTTTGTCCATTTTTCAAGGACCAGTAATTCAGACCAATATTTTCATGAGAACTTCCTGAACTCTTCCAATTATCCTATGCTTTTCCTCTTCGGTATTCTTGCTGTATGTAGATGAGTAATTACTGTATAATTTTTACTTGTAGACTTCCTCCAATTTACAAGCATTTTAAGAGAAAACATGCTTTTAAAAAAGTGAGAAAACATGCTTAGTCTTATTTCATCCTCCCTGCACTCACACTTCAGTCATTGTGAAACACAGCATTGATACTTGTGAATATGTTACTTCTTCCTCCACATACACTAAAAAAGGCAGAACCTTGTCATTCAGCTCCTTGGTCTTGAGGTCTCCATGTTTTATTTAGGGATGTGCAGATGGCATAAAATGGATATTTGAGGGTACATTCACATTTGTACATCTGGACTATCTCTCAAGCAATCTTAAGAAAACTGAGATCTGATTTATTCACAATTTGGACAGTAAGAGGAAGCTTAAATTAGCTAACAGCTTTCTATCCTTCCCACATATTACAACAATAAAAAAAGAAAATTTCATTAACAGGAACATAAGAATATTAAATCCTAGCTTTACAAGATAGCTTAGTTCTATTTCTAATTCTTAAAAATTGATAGTTTTGTCAATTATTACATTTTTGTGTAACAAATATTTTATTTATTTTTTTTTGTTGGAACCGGGGATTGAACTCAGATCCTTGCGTTTGCCAGTAAAGCGCTTATCCTACTGAGCCATCTCCCCGGCCCCACAAATATTTTATATCAAAAAAATAAAACAAACTCAAAGTCACCAGGGATGTGGAGGTAACCTCGGGTCAATGCTACCTTTAGTTCTTGCCTATGTCTTAGCTTTCCCACATTAATTTTGATTTTAATCACTACCTTCATTTCCTTGGCATGAGAGAAGCACTGAGTATATCTCTCTCTCTCTCTATATATTTTTTTTATTTTTATTTTTTTGGCAGAACCAGGGATTGAACTCAGGCCTTTGAGCTTGCCAGGGAAGCGCTTATTCCACTGAGCCATTTCCCCAGCCACTCTATATATTTTAATGAATTTTAAGTCATTAAAAAATCTCGACTATGAAGAGTGATAGAACAGTGTAATATCAATTTTATCCAGTGTAAGAACATTTTAAAGCTTTATTTCATAAAACACTTAAGAGTTCCTTGTAACAGCATATCAAAAGTGAAATGTACACATTGATTTTATACTCCACGTTAAGTCCAAAGTTCCCAATTGGTAAGAGATCAAGTTGCAGGATACAAGTACTGAAAATTAAACCATAGGTAGTACTTTAAACAAAAAAAGCACATTTTTAGCACTTAAGTGAAACGAAGCTTTAATCAAAAAAGACTTTAATTCCACAGTGTCTTTTTTTTCCAAGCAATAATTAAGCCGATCAAGCATGTGGTCCCGAGCTCAAGTGACAGGATGCTTGAAGCAAACAAGAAAACATCGATGCTAAGCAGTATTCAACACATACTATATTTCTGAATTTGATTTTAGAACTTGTTCTAGAGTCTAGTTAAACAAAAGGATTAGAGAGAAGAGCTCTGACCCTATACTGCGGACTGCCGGGCTAACGTTTATGTCACACAGAGGTGCATGACAAAGCTGGCAGATTTAATCAACTTCCCACTGACTGATTCACCAAAGCATACTTCCTTCAGCTACAGTGCTACAGTTCTTGCTACGGACAAATTCTTAACAGAAGGAAATTCTGTACTTCCAGTTTTAAAAAACAGGCAGTTTTATGAGGCAACCATTTATATATCTGAGAATGCACATTTAAGTTTTCACAACTCCATGCCTTAAGAGGAACTTTCAGAAATATCATTTCAAAGACCCTGTGCCATATTTACACAGTTCACATTTTCTATAACATATTAGAAACTGTAAATGGCAAAAAATAATCACAATCACAAAGTTTTATAAAATTCAAGTTTTCAGTGATTTTTTAAAAAAAGTATAACCATTTTGTTCATCTAAGATATCCAGTTATGGTATATGGAAAAATCCTAGATATGTGAAAAAAATTAGTCAAAGAAAATCCTAATACCTTTCAACTATATATATATATATATATATATATATATATGCTGGAAATTGAGGCAAAGGCTTTTGCGCTGAGCTGTATCCCCAGCCCCTTTCATTTCTGAGACAAGATCTCACAAGGTAAGTTTATTGGCATACCCCTTTCCCCTTCTGACCTTTCCACATATGGACAGTTTAAATGGATTACAAGTTCAAGTCCAGCCTGGCCAATTTAGCAAAACCCTATCTCAAGATTTTAAAAAAGGGCTAGGGATATAGTTCAGTACATCCCAGTATGGTTCAATCCCAGTATGAGGTGGGGAGGGTAAGACAGCTAAAAAAAAAAAAAAAAAAAGTGCTAACTTGGCATGTGAATAAAGAATCATATAACACTGAGTCACTACTCAGAATCCATTTTAGGTTTCACATAATTTTCAGTCTTAATACCATCATTTTTATTCAGATAAGAGAAATGACCTTTAGAAATCATGGACATCACAAATAGCACTTAAAGAATCACAAGATGTTGCCAAAAAAATCTCAGCATCAACAATTCTTTCAAATAATGAAGAATGTTAATACACAGTAGAAGCATAGTTTAGAAAACCTGGGAGCTCACATTTCTTATTTCTGCTTTGCTAAGCAATATGAATTAAGCATTATAATATGGAGTCCTTTTAAACACAAGGCAATAAAAATTAAAAACAAAACAAGAAAATAGGCCAGGCATGATGGCACATTCTTGTAATCCCAGCACTCTGGGAGTCTGAGGCAGGAGGACTGATATGAGTCCAAGACCAGCTGGGCCTGTATAATGAGTTTAGGGCCACCTGAACTACATAGTAAGATTCTGTCTCAAAAAAAAATGCAACACAGAGCCTTCTGGGATTCACAAGTTTCTTCTTCCTTGTCCTTTGGTTAATATTGGTCTCATCGCTAGTTTCTTTGTTACAAAAAAGAATCCAAAACAAATCTCTGCTCTAAGTAGTCATTCTTGAAATCAGTAAGGTCTGCATTTTTTTCCAAACCCAAACCCTGAAATCCATACAGATTTCAATAGAAATTTTTCTCATTTGTCTACAAACTGAGCTACTATATAACCTACACTAAAGGGGTGTGGAGGGCAGAAAGTTACTGGCTATTGCCAAGGTTCTTCAATGTACATCCTACTTTTATTATTATTTTTTAAAAATTTAACATATGAAAAAAATTTAACATATTGCAAAAGCAAAAGCTCCAGCTGGAAACTTATACATTTCAGAAATATGGGGGGAGGGGGACTTTACCATTTCCAATTTCTAAATAGATGCTTCCAAATAAAATATCAAGCTGCTAATTAACAAGTGGAAATAATCAGCCATTCAAATTATGGAAATGTTTGTTGAGGTAATTTTTCTGTTTCTTGTTTTTGTTTTCCCCCTAGCACTTAGGACAGAACCCAGGGGTACTCTACTAGTGAACCATCATCTCCAGTTGTTTTCTTTTGAGATAGGGTCTCACAAAATTGCCTGGGCTGGCATCAGCCTTTCCAGTAACTGGGATTACTAGCATGAAGCCACTATGCCCTCAGCTCCTGATTTTCATGAAAGCTTTCTCTTGTATTCTATGAGGATGGGAATATCTGACATCTACACACAGCTAGTTTTAGGAAATAATTCTTTTGAATAAAATTTATCTTAAAACACATTTTTTTCTAACTTTTTTCTTTTGCTCATATTATTCAATTACAGTTTGAGGAGGACAAATCTATGAGGCAGGGGCTGAGATGGCACTATACCCTTTAAGAAAAGTAACGTTCTGGTGAACTGGGACATTTCACAACATAAAGACATGTATTTATAGACATTTTTTCCTTGAATAATATGAGAAAGCATTTTTGACCTAAAATAAACTGCAATACTACAGTGGGACATGTTCATTAAAGAATTAACATAATTTAAAATAAAGCATAGATAATATGTTTTAATAATTCCTATATTTTCATTATATGGACTTAAATTAGCATGTTTTTTTCTCCTCATTTTGCATTTCTAAGAAGGCATTTTTAAATTTTTGAGCTGTCTCCAACTATCACAGATATGCTAATGTAATAACATAAATACAAATAACACATAAACAATATGTATGCACACACAAGCAGACCCAAACATCAGACCACTGAAGTTGTACTTTCGGGGTTCACACGCATGAGTCTAGAAGTGTTCCTCAAGTCCTGGAGCTGCTTGGCAGGTTTCCCCACACCTTCCTCAAACCTCTTCTCCACCACAGGGAGGACTGTTTCATACAGAAAGGATGCATTCTGCCTGATAAAAGCCTTCTTCTCTGGATCCTGCTCACACCGCAGACTGTAATCCACATGCTGAACAGCAACCAGGATAATTTCCACCAGACTCTCCAGAAGCACCATGTGCAGCTCAGGGAAATACAGCTTCAGTGCCTCTTCCAGAAAGCCCATGGTCTGCTTGGTGAAGGCAACCACTGTGTAGCTCAAGTTAACCCAGCAGTCATCACCAGTGTACTGCTCAAAGTTACTGACCCCGCAACTCCTCATCTCTTCCTTGAGCTTACTCAGGGCCTCAGGAGTCATCAGGTTCATCCGCCTCCACATCTCTTCTGAGTTGCGGTGTTTGGTGGCTTCGATGATGATCTCCTTGTAGCTGTGCAAGGCCCCCTGGATGTCTTTCACCAGTAGGGCATGGATGATAAAGGTGAGGTCCAGTCCAATCTCCCCCAGCTGCTGGCAGTGTTCTTTGGCTACCTTCACACATTCCGCTGCTGTGGAGAGGCTCTCCTTGCTGTCAAACACTTGCTTGCTGAAAGCATCCACAAACATGCCCATAGCTGACCTTGCCCAGACCACAAAGGCAGAGTAGCAACCACTGTCAGTGCCTGCAAAGTCTGTCTCGAATTCCCTTGCAGTCTCCAGCAGGCTGGTGAAGAAGACATGGCAGAGCTTATGAATGTAGAGGAGAGTGGCTCCTTCGATTCGCAGCTGCCGTATTGCAGTGTGCACAGCAGCTGCCCTGTTTCTCAGAAAAAGCTCACATGCCTTGGTGCACTGGCCCAGCCGAATTAGCTGAGAAACTGCCCTGCGAGTGGCTTTGGGGCCACCTCTCAGAGAGCGATCTGGGGAGAGTTCAAACACTAGCACCTCAGTGAGCTGCCTTACACGCTCATCCACTTTGGCTCTGAGTTCCTTCACAGGAGGTGAGCTGGACTTGTCTTTTAAGTAATGGTTCAGTTTGTCCAGAAGATCAACAGCACCCTCAAAGTCCCTCTGGGCAATACAGACGTCCAGATCTTCGGGCAGCTCCTGGATCCACTCCACTGAGAGGTCCACCTTCTCTTCCTCTACCTCAGGAACAGTTGGCTCGTCATCATCCTCCTCCTCAAAGGGGTTGCTGGCCTTAGCAGTCACTTGCAGGGGTCCTCGCGCTGCCGCTGCCTCTTCCTCCTCCCTCCTTTTCTTCTCGTTAAGGGCCCTCTTAGTTTCCTCCAGCACTTCCAGCCACTCTCGTTTGATCTTGGCATTTTCTGCCTGAAAAATTCGGCTTTCAGGGAACATGAGCAATTTAAACATGTCCTTCATGGGTGGGTTGTCCTTGACATTGACCACAGCCAGGCGGTCCAGTTGGTACAACGCGTTGTAACGGTACATACCCCGTCGCTGGGGCAGCCAGGTGGCCACCAGCAGACAGTCGTTCATGAGGAAGCCATGCACGCGCTGCAGCTGCGCCATGTGATCTGCCTCATACTCCACCAGGTCCCCGTTGTACACCAGGTACTGCCCAGGCGTCTCTAGCAGGTGCCTGCAGCCTTCCACCTTCTCCAGGAGTGTGGTCAGCGTGCGCTGCTTTCCCTCCTCGCCCGCGTTGGGGCTGTCGCGCGGGGAGCCCGCTGGACCGGGCAGGAAGCCGGCCTGCCCTCGGCGGCGGTCCCGGGCCCCCGCGCCCGCCGCGTCCTCGCCGGCCGCGGCCCCCGCCGCTGCAGCGGGCAGCAGAGCCAACGGGATACTCTCTAGACTACTCTTCTGCTCCGTCAGCAAGTGGCTAAGCTGATACATTTCGCTCTCCAGGTAGGAGATCTCCCGCGCCGTCTCGATGAACTGCCGGTAGTTCTGGTAGACATTGCGCTTCAGGTTTTGAGCTGTCTCCTCAGCCAGCGCCTGCACGCGCTGTCGATGCTCTTGCAGGTCGCGGTCCCCGTCCGACTGCTGCGACAGCTGCTTCACGTATAGCCGTGCCTCGAAACCCCCCGATTCCAGCTGCCGCCGCAGGCGGCTCGCTCCGCTGTCTGACATGGTCATCGCCCTCACAGCACCGGCCTCCCGCAGTCGCTGTCACTCGTCGCCGCACTGCCCCACCCGAACTCCGCGGAACCCGGAGGCAGAGGGAGCGGGGCGTGAGCAAGACGAGGACGCCTGCGCCAGGACCCGGCGTAGAGCGCTGCGCCTGCGCCAGTGCTATACGTCACACGCTGCGCCCGCAGTTTAGCGGGGCGTCGCACACTGCGCCTGCGCTGAAGTTGAGTGCAGTTATGACGCCTGCGCAGAAACGCTAACGGGCTAAGGCGCGTGCGCGCCATCCCGGAAATAGCGAGCAGGACCCAGCGCAGAGGCGGGGCTCGCCTGGAGAGCGAAGGGTAAAAGCGGCAACCGGTTTTCTGAGGCTCTACCGGGCCCTTTCTGCTACGAAGCCTCCTGATCCTGGCGCTGGTGTTCGGGACGAACTCGCGTACGTCGTAGAGACGGGCCCAAGGTCTCGTGAAGGCGGTGTTGTCGAAGGCCCGAAGGGGACTGGGCGGAGCGATGGAGGAGGATATGATGGTCGCGCTGCAGTTGCAGGAGGAGTGGGACGCGCAGGCTGCTAAGCGCGCAGCGCGGGAGCCCCTGTCGTTGGTGGATGCGTCCTGGGAACTGGTGGACCCCACCCCAGATCTGCAGGCCTTATTTGTGCAGTTCAACGACAGGTTTTTCTGGGGCCGGCTGGAGGCGGTGGAGGTGAAGTGGAGCGCGCGCATGACTCTGTGAGTGCGACTGCACGCCGCCCTAAAGGCCAGAACGGCTGCCGTTGGTGCCCCGCCTCTTTTCCCGGGGGCTTCAGGAGGGAGGAACCCTAAAAGGGCCTTGAGGACCTGACCCCAGGACACAGCAACGAAGAGTGCCCTGGACCTAGTGACCCCCAATACCTAGGCTTCTGTCCCAAGCGTGCCAGGCTAGAGTCCCTCAGGGTGGGAGGACCCAGGATTCTTTACCATGTGGATCTGATTCCTAGGACCTTGCCCCAGAGGACCAGGACTCTGGGATCTGGGAACTATGGGCATTACTCCTAGCACCCTGCCATGAGAATGCTGGAACTGAGGGTCCCCTAGGATTAGTGGACCAGACTCATAGGACCTGGTCCAGAGAGTGCCAGGGCCCAAGATTCCTCAAGATGTGCGGACTTGACCCTCACTTTGCTGGACTGAGGGACCCTCAGTCAGGATGACCTAAGGAGTAGGGTTCCCTTTTTATCCTCTTAGGTTTGCAAACTTAAAATAACACATGCCAGAATATGAAGGTTAATGTATAGTTATCTGATGTCACATGAGGCTTGGTTTGAATTTATAGCGAACAACCTACAGTAAGGCAGGTTAAGATGGATTATCAAGCTTTTTGGAGTATAGCTCTTCCTACAGGTGTGCTACCACAGCTGTGATGGTTTACTGCCACATGCTGACAGTGGCTGGGGAGGAGAGTGGACCCCTGAGGTAATTGTCTTTGGGCATTGCAGCTGTTAGGGTAAGGAAAGCCACAACAGTGGCAACAGATCCCTACGAACTTGGGGTGCAGTGTAAGTTCTGCTCCCAAGAGGATGGATCTGTAAGCTCTCTGAACTGGCTGTGATAGTGCACTCCGCCAATCCCAGCACACTAGGAGGTTTAGGCAGGAGGATTACAATTTGTCTCCAGCATGGGCAATCTAGAGACTTATCAGGACTCAAAAAGGGGGAGGTGTGCTGAAGATGTAGCTCAAGTGCAGAGCCCCTGGGTTTAGTCCCCAGTACTGAGAGGGGAATAAAAGATGCTGGCAGGATGCTCTTAGTGTGAATTGCCAGAGGAGTGAGGATTTGCTCTTTGGTGTTTCTCTTTCCTGTGTATTTGGTAAATGTTAACACATTGTAATTATTTTGTAGGTGTGCTGGGATTTGCTGCTATGAGGGCAGTGGTGGAATGTGTTCCATCCGTGTCAGTGAACCCCTTTTAAAGTTAAGACCAAGAAAAGATCTTGTAGAGGTATTGTTTATATAAGACTAATCATTTGCTTAATAATTTACAATCAGTTGTGAATTAATCTGTATGTTTTAAAAAAATTGTCTTTCCATTAATGCAAACTCGAGTTGTAAGGACCAGCCAAATAGCTCAGTGGATTAAAGCAGACTTGCCTTGCCAGCCCCATCCCCGGGGCATGCTGAAACTGGGCGTGGTGGCACGCACCTGTAATCCCAGCACTTGGGAAAACTGTAAACAGGAGGATCACTATGAGTCTGATCTACGCAGTGAGACACTGTACACCCTGTCCTAAATACAAAAAAAACCCCAAAAAACCAACAACAACCAAAAATCCTTGAGTTGTAGAGTAAATAATAAATGGCTCGTGTATTTATAATGCAGGATATTTATGAAATGCTGTCAGGTATATTATCTCTTTTGATCTTTATATCAGCTATGTTTCTGTTCAGTGTGGGTTATGTTCATTTTTTTACATATAAGGAAATTAAGTTTCAGAGCAGTTAAATAATTTGCTTAAATTCCATATTTAGAAACAGAAAAACTTTGGATTTGCGTGTTTCCATTCACAAAGAACAGATTTGGATTATTTACTGTTTGACCACAACACTGCTGCCCTCCCAGGATACCTCCTGAGTTGGCAGTGTGATTGGCCTGAAAGTATACTTCAATGTAGAGTTGTGGTGACTTTTGCTAGCATAGTGAGTCAGAAGGAATTCCTGGTCTATTTCAGAGTGGGTTTAGTAGATACCTGGAAGTCCCTAAGATGCATCCAATGTAACTTGTCCTGCCTCAGTTCTTTTTGTTTTATTTTTTATTCATTTTAATGAGAAAAGAAGATAAAATGGTGATGAAACAGTTTTAAAACAGTTTCAAAACAGGTTAGGATGGCTAGAATAATTAATACATTGCATATTGTTGTCTTCATAGTAGTTATTCAAAGGACAGGATGCAGACATGATATTCTGTCTAAACAATATTAGTACAAACTTTTATTCTCAATGAACTAAGAAAAAAGCTGTGTATCTATCCTCTCTTGTGTATACATACATTTTTTTTCTTTTTCACAACAAAAGTCCTTTATACTTTTGTGAAGTTAGTAATGCATGATACTAGGTTGTAGCTAACCTTTAACCAGACAGGAAGCTTATCTCAGGAGTGAGGTAGCTTGTTTGCTTTAGACACTAGGTCAAGTCCCACCTGTGCATATTTCATTGATTTCCTAGCTTTGTGGCTCCCAGTATATCCCCATTTTTCATTTTGTTTTGTCAGAGATGGGTGTTCCACTGCAGTTAGAAGAGCTGTATTTGGAGAAGTCTTTAAAGGACCTTTTCATACTTGAAGCCAATCTAAAGATTATAGATACTTGAATTCAGCAAAATAACCCAATATAATCCAATAGTCCATAATGGTAGTGGGTTATTAGCAGAACTGGCAATTGTCAGAAGTTGTTGACTTGAGCCTTTTACAGCTTAGCATATTAAGATGGCATTACTTTTTATACCTTGTGGTTATACTTTTATGTTGGATGGTTAAGACCAAGTTAAAGCAAGACCTATATAACAAAAAATGTAACTTTTGTATCTGATAAGGTCATTTAGATCCCCTCAGATTTTACCCTGAAACCATGTCCAGCACCTTATAGACCTTTTGTCAGTGTCAGCCATCTAGGTAACAGCCATTGCTTAACCAGTTTGCTCTCTGTGAAAGCCTGAGAGAATGTTTTTTCTCCAGGTGACTCTCCTTAGGCACACTATATATCGTCGATCACTTTCCTCTGTGGCCCCATAATGTCCTTGATCAGAAAATTGGGGACACCACTGAGTTACAGGAAGTCACAGCATAGATTATCTTATGTCCTAAGTCCTTACTGACCTTGAAGGGTTGGGGCCATAATATTAGCTATCCTGTAGCTCTTCTATTTCTCTAATTTTTTTTTTTAATTTCTCTAATTTTTGGTCTACAAACTTTAGTAATTAAACATCCAGAAGAGAAGCTTAATGATATTACCCTGTAGCAGACAGTTGAGCTTAGCATCACTATCTGTCTGAATACAAAATGACTTAGACATAACATGGAACTGCTATTTTCCAACAATCATGGATATTCTAAAATTTAAATCCCTATAGAATGTGAAAAAAAAAAAAACGATTACACATTTCTACACAGAAATTTAGAAAGCAAACCATATACAACATTGTAGCAGGACAATCCTATGACATTTTGTTTTCTTTTACTCTTTTTTTGCACACTTTTACTTTAAAGAGTGTATAGCAATAATTGATAAAACATTAGAAGGAGTACTCATTTAGAGGAGCAAAATGATAGGCATTTCTTTTTTTCTTTTTCTTTTTTTGGCAGAACTGAGGATTGAACTCAGTGACAGGTGTTTCAAGCACGGTTTTAGTATTACACATTGCTATTCACAGTGTAGTTGCTTAGTTCACAGATATCAGCATATAGAGTTAGTCATGGTGAGAATTCTACCCATTAACTTTTTTCAAAAACCTGATTGAGATTCTTAGGACCATTGACTGTTTTTTTTTTTTTTTGTTTTTTTTTTTGCGGAACCTGGGGATTGAGGTTCCCTTGCCAGGGAAGCGCTTATTCCACTGAGCCAACTCCCTGGCCCCCATTGCCTGTTTTGCCTCAGCCATATTTCCTTACTTTTTTCCTTGTTCTGTCTTCGTTGTTTAATCCTTAAGTTCTTGCTTTCCATTTAACTATGTTATACCTTTCAATTTTTATTTCTTCTTTTGAGTTCTTACAATAGGGAGACAATATGATATTTACACATGTGTGTCTAGTTTATTTCACTTAGGAGTATATCTTCAAGTTGCATTCACTTATATATGAAGGCTTCGAGTTCATTTTTCTTTATAGCTGAGTAATATTCCATTGTATAAAAACACCACATCTTTTTCATCCATTCCTTAGGTGACAGGCATTTTGATTGTTTCCAAGATTTGGCTATCACAAATTGTGCTGCTATAAACATGGGCACACATATATAACTTTGATATGATGTTTTCAGTGCTTTTGGGAAAATTCTCAGAAGGGGGATAGCTGGATTGAATGGGATTTCCAGTCCTAGTTTTTTGAGGAGTCTCCACACTGATTTCCATAATGGTTGCACCAGTCTACATACCGACCAGCAGTGGAGAAGGGTACCTTTTTCCCCACAGCTTCTCCAACATTTGTTGTTGGGTGATTTGTTTATAATAGCCATTCTTTCTGGTGTGAGATGGTATCTTAATGTTATTTTAATTTGCATTTCTCAAATGGACAATGATGTAGAGCATTTTTTCATATATTTATTTACTTCTTGTATTTCTTCCTCTGAGAAGTGTGTATTCATGTTGGATGTCCATTTTTGGACTGGGTCTTTAAATTTGGGGGCCATAATGTTTTTTAGTTCTTTATAAATTCTAGATAAAGCCATTTGTCTGAGTGCTTATTAGTTAAGATTTTTTCCAAATTTGTGGGTTGTCTTTTCACTCTGTTGGTAGTTTCTTTTGACGTGCAAAAACTTTTCAATAAGAGGAGGTCCCAGTTGTTAATTCGTTCAAGTATTTCTGTGCAGTTTGATTTTTGCTCATGAACTATGTCTTCAAGATTTCCACCTACTTTCTCTTCCAGGAGATTTAGTGTTTCTGTTTTAATGTTTAGATCTTTAATCCATTTTGACTTTAGTTTAGTGCATGGTGATAGACCTGGCCAAGTTTTAATTTTCGGCATCCATAGAGCCAGTTTTTCCAGCACCATTTGTTTTTTGTTTGTTTGTTTGTTTTTCCAGCACCATTTCTTAAAAGAGGCTATTTTTCTTCCAGTAAGCATGTTTAGCCCCTTTGTCAAAGATAAGATGGCTGAGTGTGTTTATAGTTGCATCTTCCAATCTAGTCCATTGATCCTCAGGTCTCTCTCTTTTTTTTTTTTTGCCAGTACCATGCTGATTTTATCATAGCTTTGTAGTATGATTTCAAGTCATGAATTGTAATGCCTCCTGCCTTGCCTTTGTTGCCCAGGATTGCCTTTGCTATTCTAGGTCTTTTCTGGTTCCAAATAAATTTTAGGAATGATTTCTCTAGTTCTGTGAGGTATGTTGGTGGTATTTTCATAGGGATAGCATTAAATCTGTATAACAATTTTGGGAGTATGGCCATCTTCTCAATGCTGGTTTTTCCTATCCAGGAGCAGGGAATATTTTTCTTTCTATTTTCTGAAATCCTCTATGATCTCTTTCAGAGTACTCTTAATTTTCATTGAATAGATCTTTCATTTCTTTAGTTAGATTAACTAAGTATTTCATTTTCTGCAGTGCTATTGTAAAAGGTATTTTTCTCTAATTTCTCTGTGTTTGTTTTCTGTGTAGAGGAATTCTGTTGACTTTTGGGTATTGACTTTGTATCCTACTATGCTACTGAATTTGCATATTCTAGTAGCTTCTTGGTGGAGTTTTTTGGGTCTTCCAAGTAAAGTATGTCATCTGCAAATAATGATAGTTTAACTTCTTCTTTATCTATTCTTATGCCTTTTATTTCTCTCCTTTGTCTAATGATTCTAGCTAATGATTCCAGAACTATATTGAATAGGAGTGGTGATAGAGGGCAACCTTCTCTTGTACGTGATGTGAAAGATTGCAGTTTTTCCCTATTTAGAATTATGGTAGCCATTGGATTGTCATAGATGGCTTCTATCAGAATGAGGTAGAGGTCATCAATTCCAGTTTTCTGTAGGACTTTGAACATGAATTGAGTGTTGGACTTTGTCAAAAGCCTTTTCTGCATCAATGGAGATGATCATGTGGTTTTTGGATTTGGCTCTATTGATATAGTGTATTACATTTATAGATTTGCATATGTTGAACCATCCTTGCATCCCTGGGATGAATCCTACCTCGTTGTGGTGTATAATCTGCTTAATGATTTGATGTATTCTCTTTGCTAGGATTTTATTGAGGATTTTTGCATGTATGTTCATGAGGGAGATTGGCCTATAGTTCCTTT